CCTGGGCGAGTCTGTTTTGAAGAAGTGGCGTTAGGAGAAGTTTAAGTTTAAAAAATTGGGCTCTCAAAAGCAATGTCAATTGTACCATTGATAATTTGGCTCTGTTGACTAATGAGTTTGCCAACCACTGGTCTAGATGTAGGATGCGAACTTGGCTGCTCTGGCGGTGGGGGCGGAGAGTGAAGAATGTGCAGGTTTAAAGAGGTCTTCTGTGGGTCTGCAGGCTCCGATCACAAGAGTTTATACAGGTGTGAGCTCTGGTGTTTTATGGAATAAACAATAGTACTTAAACGCAGTTGGTTATCTTTTCTAGCAGCTTTTGACACTCAGTAACTAGAAGCTGATGTTTTGTGGTTTCTCTTTGTGAGAAACACTTTCCCACACAAACGTGCTTCAGCCAACACAAAATAATGCAGAATTCTGAAATAGCTGAATGCCTGGGACCAACTATTGGCAATTATCTGCAGCTTTACTGAAGATAATGCTTGGGGATATGTTCATGGAAAAGAAAAAGGACACTGTCCCCGCTAAGGATATAGAGGGAGTAAACGTTTAATGTCTTTCCGAAGAGATGACCCTAAAATGAATGGATTCCATTTCCCTCACGTAACTCGGCAATACTTGTGAATAGACTAGCAGACCACCCACAGGACTGGATATAAAAACAAATAATCTCTCTCTTTTCATGAACACCTGGATAGATCATGACACTTCCTCTGTACTTACTGAAAAGTAGGTGGAATTTTAACAAGGTCGGGGAAATACAGGAAGTTTCAGATTCCATTTTCCTAATGTGACATGATGTTTACAAATGATTCTTGAGATGAAGTTTTGCTCTTCCTGTTTTAATAGCATTTAAAAAGTAGAGATCGATGTTTTAAAAAACTGGTGTCCATGCCAATGACTGTCCTTCCATTAAGGGACTCCTGACAATCTGTCCTCCACTATGGGGATAAATGAGTAAGATGATGCCTTTGTTTTTCCCACATGCGCTATCCTATATATTTTTCATTGTTGGTAGCATTACTGATATCTCTGATTTCCTCCCCTTCCCTCCCTGCCCCTACTTACCTACCCTCCTCCTTATCCTGTATTCTTTTTTTTTTAAATTTCTTTGTTGATTAAGGTATTACATATGTGTCCTCATCCTTCCATTAACCCCCCAACCCCACCCTCCCCACTCATGCCCTCACCGCCCTGGTGTTCGTGTCCATTGGTTAGGCTTACACGCATGCACGCAAGTCCTTTGATTGATCTCCTTTCGACCACCCTGTATTCTGATTTAAGGATCTGTCCGTTGGGCGCTGACATTTTGTTAGTGGTTTTTTTTCTTTTCTTTTCGTTTTCCTTTATTTTTCTGCAGCGTTCATTTCCTCTTCTAGGAACAGCTCACTCTTTTTTTGAGGCACTGCTTCCCGCCCGCCGCCTTCAGTGTCTGTGGAATTGCTGCGGATCATCAGGCATCATCTAGTCAAATTTCGGGGAGAAGAGCCTTTTATTTATTTTTTTATTATTTATTTAATTTTTAAATTAAATTATTATCTGTGTACATATCTTACCGTTGCCCCCCCCATACATGCCCTCCCTCCCCAGAGTTTTGTGTCCATTGGTTGTACTTATATGCATGCATACAAGTCCTTCGGTTGATCTCTTATCTCTCTCAGATCTCCCTACCCTCCCCGCTGTAATTTGACAGTCTGCTTGTTGCTTTACTGTCTCTGTATTTATCTTTTGGTTCATCAGTTTATAATGTTCTTTATTATCCATAAATGAGTGAGGTCATGTGGTGTTTCTCTTTCATTGACTGGGTTATTTCACTCAGAAGAGCCTTTTCTCTGAGGGCAGCGGCCTGGAGGGAACATTGCGCTTTCTGACAGTCCCCGCCCCCCCCCACCCCCCCACCCGCAGGAGAAGAAGTCAGGGCGGCCGCCAGCCCAGGCTCCCTGCCCAGTGCCCCGAAGTCACGGCATTCGCTGGCAGGTGGTCTCGGAGAGATCCTTCTGGCCTTAAGGGCTTTACCAGCACCCTCTCGCCGGGCAAGCTGAGCACGGATTACGGTTCTGGGTGACACACACCCAGCAATGACTGCTTTCTCTGAGCAGTGGACACCGTGGAAGCCACTGCAGAGGGCCAATGGCTGACAGTGTGGGGATGATTTCTTTGTCTCAGGTGCCAGCTGGCATTGATGGGTCTCCGTTTTCCTAGGTCTCTCCCATCCCTCCCTTCTGCAGGCTCATGGTCTTTCGTGTCCTTTCACACCAAAATAGTTTTCCCCCTTTTTTCTCTTTCAGGTATTTGGTGAAACACACATGGAGTTTGAAGTGGAGTGTAGTTGAACAGGGGTGTGTGTGTGTGTGTGGGTGTGTGGGTGTGTGTGTGGTGTTTTTGGAATCTGAAGGGTGAAATAGGATGTTAATTATTATTGTTGGCTTTATTTATCAATGTTCAGTGTAGGCTAAAATCCTGGGATGCGTTTCCAGTCTGTAAAAATCACTGGATCCTTTAGGGGAGGTTTAGTGAATGGACCTTGACCTCCAAATGCTTTAGCGAAAGTATTTTAAGTGAAAACACTTGGTTCGTGTCTTTGTCATCTGCTCCTGTCCGTGTCTTCTAAACAGAAGCTACTGCTTTGGACACGGAGTTGTTTACTCAGGTGCTTTGCAGTTTGCTTAGTGATTGCGTCTGTCTTGGCATCTGTCTTGGCCTTGGGCGCTCGCGCTCCCCCCCCCCCCCGCCCCTCTCTCTCTCTCCCCTTAATATTCCTGATTGCTATATTCCCTTTCTGTGTAGCTGACGTCCATTCTTCAGCATTCAGTGCCGAATGCCTTAATGAACCAATTAGCTGCTAATTTGCTCCCCACCTCTGCGTTCCTCCTCTGACCGTCAGCCCTACTACGTGCTCAGATCCAGTTTCCCAGGCGTAACCTTCCTAGTGGACTCCTCTGCCCAAGATCCTGGTGGTGGTGGGGGGAGTCTCTGCCCATTACTCTTGGTGAGGTTCCCACTGACCGCCTTCCCATTCTCTGCTGCAGACCCCACCCCCCTCCCTAACCTCGCACCTCACCACGGGCGGGCGGGCGTCCCCAGTGTGGGAGAGGTGGGCTCGGAGGTCCTTGGATGAGTGGGCTGTTTGGAAGTCGGAATGGCGTGTTTGGGTGGAAACCGCTTGTCATCCACTGGGGTGGAGTCACGAGCTGTAACTCAGAGGCACTGGGTCCTGCCGTAGGGGTGCCTGAGCTTCGGAGCCAGAAGCCCCAGGGACAAGGGTGGCTCGGCGAGGGTGGACTGCTCTCCTCCTTCTCCTGAAGCCTGGGTCAGCCAGCACAAGGGAGAGCTGATAGTGATGTTTTGTGTGTAAAGACGGCCTGTTTTAAAAATTGCTTCCTTTTTAAAAAAATTAAATTTATTGGGGTCTCTTTAGCATATAATGTCTGTTCTCTGTTTTTCAAGACCTAGTGTTACTCTTCTCAGACTCTGGGCCAGAGAGAGCTACTCCAAATTAAATAAGGTATTAATTCGGGGATTATAATATCTTCCTATTAAAACAACAGTCGTTGGTTTAAAAAAGCAAAAACTTTAGAGGAATATAATAGGCATACAGTATTAGCTTCAGGTGTCTCACATAGCGACTCAGCATTTATACACCTTACAGAGCGGTCACAGGAAGTCCAGTGACCGCGCCACCGCCCATAGTTATGGTGGCGGTACTGACTTCACTCCCTCTGAGCAAACAGTGGCTCTTCACTGAACACTCGCTCTCGATTTCTCTCTCCTCACAATGGTCTTGCATGGCCCATCCCCGTTACCTCCATTCAGGAGGCGGATCTGTCCAGGCAGGGTAAGATGCAAATATGTGAACCGATTGACTGATAAGCTCAGGACTCACCAATAACTTGTGTAGGGATCTCTTTCGTTTTCAGTTTGTTTTGTTCATTAGGCTCCGCATATAAGTGAGATGAAACAGACCCGGAGACATGGAAGCTCAGAGGGAAGGGGGGCCGGGATGGGTGGGAAGACATTAACCAAAGAACTTACATGCATGTATGCATCACCCGTGGACATAGACACCAGTGCAGTGAAGGCCTGGGGATTGGGAATGGCGGGTGTGGGGTGGCCAGGGTCATTGGAGGGTGGGGGGTGGGTGGAAAGGGGAACATTTGTAAAACTTACGACAATAGAGATTAATTAAATAAACAGATACACAACTTGTAAATACTTGCGAATGGCTTAGAGTGAGTGAGTGCCGTGTGTGTGTGTGTGTGTGTGTGTGTGTGTGCTGGGTGCCGTAGTTTTAACTCTGTGGTGACTGGCGGGGCTCCTGAAAAAGACTTGAGTGAGTTACATTCCCACGTGGAGGACACGGAGCCAGTGAACTTGGCCTCAGTGATCTGTTTCACCCGTCCCGCAAGTGCCACGTTTTCCTGTCCTATTTTTTTAAAAAATATATTTTACTGATATTTTTACAGAGAGAAAGGGAGAGGGATAGAGAGTTAGAAACATCGATGAGAGAGAATCATCGATCAGCTGCATCTTGCACACCCCCTACTGGGGATGTGCCGGCAACCAAGGTACATGCCCTTGACCGGACTTGACCCTGGGACCTTTCAGTCCACAGGCCGTCGCTCTATCCACTGAGCCAAACCAATTTCGGCCGTTCTGCTATTTTGAAATGTAATAGCAGCAGCAAGTACTTATGTGATGGGGGATGGGGTGGAGAGGAGAGGAGAGGATGCCGTTTCTGAGAGAGAAAGGACACACCTACAGGGATGGCCGGGAAACCCCTGCCTCCTGACGTGCTGGGAGGAGCTGGGCCGAGGGCCTCGCCATCCTCTGACCTCAGCTGTGTCTGACGCCACCCGCTGACGGTGGAGCCCGGGCTTAGTTCTGGCAGCGGGGGGATTAGTGCAGAGTCAGGCCCTCCCCGAGGCTTTCCGGCGGGGAGCTCAGCCCCGGTCGGTCCCTGGGCCGGGCTCTGACGCTGTGTGCTTGCCTGTCCCCAGCTGTGCAGGAAGCCACCCTCGGCGCGGCGGGCGGGATGGCCGGCTCGGCCCGGGAGCACCTGCTCTTCGTGCGGCGGCGGAGCCCCCAGATGCGCTACACGCTGAGCCCCGAGAACCTGCAGAGCCTGGCCCAGGGCGCCAGGCCCGAGAACATGGCCCTGCAGCGGGCCAACAGCGACACGGACCTGGTGACCTCGGAGAGCCGCTCCAGCCTCACGGCCAGCATGTACGAGTACACGCTGGGCCGCGCCCAGAACCTCGTCCTCTTCTGGGACATCAAGGAGGAGGTGGACCCCAGCGACTGGATCGGGCTGTACCACATCGGTGAGTCACACGCGCGGCGGCGGCGGCACCCGGCTTTTCTGTGTTTTCTCCTGCCAACCACGCACACAGGGAGATCCTTCAGGACCGCCTGGCCGGCCGGGCTGCCTTCCCGCTCGGGAGGAGGAGAGACAGCGGTGGAAATACCTTCGTTCATAGGAATTCTGTGGCCCCATCTCTCTCCTAATTAAACCCCCCAGTCTGCAGATTGTACAGGATTTTTTCCTTTTAACACTTCATGTCACTTTGACATGAATAGCTCCACTTTGGAAAGAGGTGGCCATTGGCATTTATGGGTATTTTAAAAATATATACATTTTATTGATTTTTTACAGAGAGGAAGAGGGGGGGATAGAGAGTTAGAAACATCGATGAGAGAGATTCATCGATCAGCTGCCTCTTGCACACCCCCTACTGGGGATGTGCCTGCAACCAAGGTACATGCCCTCGACCGGAATCGAACCTGGGACCTTTCAGTCCGCGGGCTGACCCGGTTTTGGCAATTTATGGATATTTTTAAACAGGCGGAGAAGACAACCTGAAAAATGGCTCTGTGTTTTCTTTCTTTTAAAAAAATATATATATTTATTGATTTCAGAGAGGAAAGAGGAGGGAGAGAGAGAGAAACATCAGTGATGGGAGAGAACCATTGACCTGTTGCCTCCTGCACGCCCCCTACTGGGGATCGAGCCCACAACCCAGGCATGTGCTCTTGGCCGGAATGGAACCTGGGACCTTTCAGTCCTCAGGCCAATGCTCTATCCACTGAGCCAAACGGGCTCGGGCTGCTCTGTGTTTTCTGAAGGTTACGCTTCATTAAGAACAACGTGCAGTCTACAGCATTACAACAGAATTCTTTGATGTGTCCCTGATCAATTAGGTGAAGGGAGTGTCATATTCTTCTAATATATGGGTTAGAAATAGGTTCCTCTTTGTTTTCATAAACGTGTCCCGCTCTCTTCAGCTAATTTGTATTCATAGGGAGGTGAGCGGTGAATAATGTGTCCCAGAAAATGTAAAGTGTGCTTATTGGAAAGCAAAGGTCAGTATCTTCTCCCCAGCCAGACAGGAAATCTAAACCAAACTTGACAATGAAATCTAACATTCCCGAACATTGAAAAACGTGTTCATGGAATGAAGGGGATTAAAAAAAAAAAATTAACATTAGTTATTTTATTAGGAAGACATCATTGCTTTCCACATAGATTATAAACCAAGCATATTTTTTGGGGGGTGGTGGTGGCTTGTAATAACTAAATTAGGGGGGGAGGACGTTTGTGGCCGTGTTTCTCGGCCAGGGATGGTTTTGCTCCTGGAGGATATTGGACGATGTCTGGACCGGTTTGCAGTGGGTACAGCTGGTGGGGGAGATGGGAGACCAGGGATGCGGAGGACAGCCCCTCGCAACAAAGACTTACCGGTCCCCAAGTGTCAGCAGGGCCCCTGCGGGGAAACCTTGTTTGAGGCAAAGTGACAGGCATCCTTGTTGAAACTGTGTTCGTGCTAAGGCCACTGGGCTTTATGTTTGTCCGGAACCAGGCATTTTAAATGAATTCATTTGTATTTACTTTTGTACCTCTAAATGTTTAATCATGCTGGATAGCAAGAAATCGAAAACGACAAAATTATCAATGCATTTTTCTCTCTCTTATGACAACAGCAGCGGGGAGGTCTTCAGTGCCGAGCATTTTCCCCAAGTGCGTTAAATACACTTTCCAAGTGAGGCGGTTCCATGATGTAAACACTATATTTTCATTTATGGTACCTATTAGGTCCACAAAATATTTTACTTTTTGGCAGTAACTCTTGGCTTTTAGTAAATTCACCCTTTTGGATTTTATAGCCTTTTTTTTTTTTTTTTTTTTTTTTTTTTTACTTTTCTCATAATGCTTTTTCCTTCCCTCTGATTTTAGATTTCACAGTGCTTGATATGAGACTATAAAGAGCAGACTATGTTTTCTTAGGGGCTTTTTATGTGATACTAGAGGCCCGGTGCATGAAATTTGTGCACTCGGGGGGAAGAAGGGGTCCCTCAGCCCAGACTGTGTCCTCTCACAGTCCAGGAGCCCCACCCACCCACCACAGCCCACTCGGTGGCCTGGGCCTCCCTCTGCAGGGCGATCATAGGGCGACTGCTGGGCCCCTGACCAATCGTATTGCATCCACCGTGCTGGTCTGGCACCAGTGCATGTCATAGCATGGCCGTCTGGACGGTTGTCTGCTGTTCGGTCGTTTGGTCCATTTGCATATTACACGTTTATTATTATAGATTTCGTTGGGACCTAATCAGTTTTATTATTTTTTAATATGGGATGGTTTTTCGTGGGTGTGAATGACAATCTGTGAGATGCTAGAATAACTTAAGACGTTGACTCCTGTTACTCCAGGCTTTCTCCTCCTTCCTTTGTGTTTCCCCACCCTACTTGTTATGTTTCTATAATAGATTAATTGGAGAAGGAGCTAAAGAATTCATTTCATCTCTGAGTGACCAAAGCCACAAAGTCTTTGTGTTCTTATGTATAATTTCCTAGAGGCAGAAATAGAGTCAAAGTTTTAAATCTGGAGTTAATCTAAGGATTGAGCTCAGGAAGTAGAATTAGGACATACATCTCTTTTTTATTTTTAAATATGCTTTTATTGATTTAAGAGAGAGGGGAAGGGAGAGGGATAGAGAGATAGAAACATTGATGAGAGAGAATCATCCATCTGCTGCCTCCTGCATGCCCCCAACTGGGGATCAAGCTCAAAACCCAGGCATGTGTCCTGACCGGGAATCGAACCAGCAACCTTTTGGTGCACAGGACGGCGCCCAACAAACTGAGCCACACCAGCCAGGGCAAGATGTCATATCTTAAGTTGTCTCCATGTGGCAGCCATACGGCATCCATCAAGAGGAACACAAGTTAAGGATGACGTAAAGGATCTTAGAAAGAGCATGGGCTGGTGCCGCAGAGTTCTTGGTATCTGCTTGAAAGTCTTCCCCTCTTTGTTTAGTGATGATTTGTGAGGCTTTCTCCTCCCAGCAGTCATTCCTACCTGAGCTGTACAGGAAGACGAGAAAGGGCAGAGGGGGTATGTCAGTTGCTTTCAAAGGCAGAGCGAGGGGTGAGTGGGCTACCTTGGCAGGGGGAGTGCTTGGGGCAGCTTCGATAGACGAGAAAACGGCTAAGTTGTTTGGAAAAACAAACAAACAAACAAACAAGACAAAGCAAAAGCTGCTTTGCAAACAGTCACTCCAAGTCCATGGGGAAACTTTAGAAAGTTGACCAGGGCTCCTCATGATAGGAAGGATCTTTCAAAGGAGTCACTGGTAACTTGAACACACGCACGCTTTCTGGGGCATTGTGAGAGGAAGACAGGGGAGATGCTGCTGCATTTGGAGAAGACCTGCAAGAAAAGGAAAAAAAAAAACCAACGCAAGGCCGGGGTGGGGAAAAGAGTTTTGGGGTCCCAGTGGTGTCAGATATAAGGGCGTCAGGGCGGACCGCTTCTGAGCGCGCCGGGAAATAGATGTGCCGAGCGTGTGGGTTGTGTAACCGCAGCACGGACGACAGGAATAGCTGCAGACTTCTATACCTCCTGGCGGGAAGCAGCCGCTCCCCTTAGCTTGTGTCCTGAGAATCTGGGCTGTCTCCTAGCAACACTTGGCTTTCTTTGTGGAACAGAGAGTGGTCTCTATGGAAAGGAGTCCTAGGGGGGGGAGGGTTGGGGAGGGCCCGGTGCGGGCAGCGAGGTGCTGGCGAGGTGTGTCTGATTGGCATGCTTTGCATTTTTATTGTACTTCTCTTGGCTTCATTCTTCTGTCTCTCTACGAGTCTGAGTTTTTTAAAATTTTATTGTTGATGCTCTGACAGCTGTCCCCCCGCCCTCCTCCCTCTGAGTTTTGGTTTTGTTTGGCGAATTGTCATGTGTTACACTATCTAACTCAGCTCCAGCTGACTTGCAGCACTCCTCATCTGGAGGGAAAGTATCCTCCTGGATCAGAAACACAAATCTTTCTCTAACTACTCCAGGCAGGATATGGGTCCTGCTGGGAATATGAAGAAAAACAGTTGAAAGCATCAAGATGCCATCTGGGGAAACTTTGGGTGTCCACAGGGCTCTGGGAGTGGAGGCTGATTACCGTGTCTCACAGAGACCCTGAGTCTTGCAGGGTAGCTCTGTGCCAGCCCTGGAGCTCCAGACTACCAGAGGGAATGCCTTGGACATGGCTTTTGGAAATCACTAGCTTTATGGTTTATCGTTGGTCTTCCGCATGAGCGTGGACCGCTCACACACTGGACAGTGCCACCCATCGCCGCCTCCTCAGCTCACTCAGTAAACAGAGCCACGTGTGTGACTCTGTGCAGGAGCACTCAGGGTGCCCAGCTCAGACGCTTTCCCTGAGAAGTCGAACGGACACCCGTTAAGCAGGAGGCGGAGCATAGGACACTGCTTCGGGCTCACCCTCTGAATGCTTGGTCTTGGGCTGACTTTTTGTTCGGAAGGAAAACACCCCCAAAGGCTCCTGTTGCCATTTCTCCTCTGCAGGCGACCTCACACGCAGGAACAGAGCTAGGAGGACACGCACTGAGAGAATTAGAAGGATCGCCTGCGCTGTGCACCTGCGCTGCTCAGAGTGCCAGTCTGCCATCAGCTTGTCATTGATAAGAAACTTTCTCCAGAATGTGGGTCTGTGCAGCTGCCTCCCTTGTTTAGAAACCTAGCTATTAAAAATTGTCTAAACTACATAATGGGCTTGATGGGCGTGTTTCATCTTCTGGCTAAGCTTCTTATCCTGTCCGGGCCCAGTAACAGGCAGTGGACCAGCGTTTGTCTGGACCACACTGGGAATACATACCTTAGTGTCCACCTGTCCATATCTTCAAAGATGAGCGGCAGAACAACTGTGTGTGTGTGTGTGTGTGTGTGTGTGTGTGTGAATATATTTTATTGATTTTTTACAGAAAGGAAGAGAGAGGGATAGAGAGTTAGAAACATCGATGAGAGAGAAATATCGATCA